GTTCAGAGCAGGTGTTAACAACTCCTTGGAGTGGGTTTCCGCTGCCTCTGAGAACCAGGCAGGATATTCGACGAAGACAGAGTCCGTGTCACCGTAAACTACCTTCAGCTCTGGGTGGTCTTTGCCGACTAATGAGATGACGTGTGACATGTATTCTCGGCCCAGAGCCAACACCGAATCACCGATCTCGCGTGAGAAAAGGCTATTGACTGTCGCCCCTGTGAAGCCATACACAGCGTTTGCAGCAAGTTTGAATGCCTTTTGCCGAGCGTCCAATACGCGCCTTTGTCCTTCACTTACGTATGGCTCTTTCAACATCTTTTGAGCCTGACTTCGCGCTTCCAGAAGGTCAGCCAAAAGGCTTGGTATAACACCCCGTCGTACCTCTGATTTCACAAAGCATGCACCGATCGGAGTGGAGAAGATACCATCCTTTGAAAGACAAGTACGTGTCTCGGAAGGATTTCTAATAAGAGTACTGTAGCATAAATTGTGGTGGATCATGATTGACGGGTAGAGGCTTCGAAAGTCCAGGACAGCAACGGGATTCGTATGCAGACCCACGGTGCCAATGCCTTCGGGATTGGACGGAGAAGGTTGGGAAGGGTCGAGCAATAAAGCGCTTTTGACGAGTGCTGCTTTGTCTAAGAGCCCTTCGGTACTCGTCGGGACCACGACTCCTTGACGCGAGGCGTGGATTTGCAGCATGCTGGTAACACGCGCCATTTGCCCTCGTATATATACATGAGCCAATGACATGCCCGTAACACGGGCAATTTCAACGAGTTCCGCCACCGCGTTCTTCTTAGCTATCACGTCTAAGGCAAGTACCGCGGGGCTTAGTCCAGCCTCCATTGCACGGGCCCAACCTGTGCTATCTTCCTCTGTCAGCAGTGCCTCTACGCTTCCCGTATCCAGCACTTCAAATGTCCGGCCCAATACATGCATAGAGATATCTCCTAGGGTATAAAGACGCAAGGCTTCGCTCATCTGGATCACGCGCATTAAGTCGAGGACCACGCGGCCTGGACAATGCACTTCGGTGCCCTCTTGGTTAGTAGTCGCGCTCATACGTGGCTTGTCTTTCACCCATTTGGCCCCATAGCTCTGTTGACTTTTCACCGAAATCATTTCTCCTCGCCTTCGGGAAAAGGTGCCAAAAGTTCGCATTTTGAGCGCCTCCGCCCTCCCCAAAAGAACTCGTAAACTCTCCCCGACCTCGAATCCCGTCACTAGACTCGGATCTTCTTGGATCATAAAGTCGTCAAATGCCTGCAACAAGGCCGCCTCATCCTTGTAGAGGCGAGTTACCCAGCTTCCACCTACTCGTAGACCCCCAACCTTCCGAGTGGTTTTTCCAGTCGAGCCACCGGCCTTGTCGGCGAGCTTTTCAAGCCCTGTCAAGTTGAGCATGAGCACCTTGGTGCGGGAGTGCGGTAAGTGTCCGCCGTTTTCGTACGTGGTCACCATACTAATCATGCGGATCGGATCTGGACACTCTTGTCCCCTGTCTCTCCACTGCGAGTCAGGAACGGGCGCACGGTGGCGCTCCACGGACAAAGACACGATCTTCAAAGGCGGTAGTGCACTCCACCGCTGCGATTCCGCGAAAGAATGAATTTGAATTGTTCGGCCAAAATATGTCACTTCCCTCTTCTTCTGATCCCAGGTACATGCGAGCTCTATGTCACATGCGGATTTCCGGCTACCCCGCATTTTATGGTCCCCATGACTATTCGCCGCACCTTCAATCACAGGTACCTCAAGCCAATCGCCACCTCGTATGCCACTGTCCATAGAAAATCGAGTAGAGACGTCTACTTGCGTGTCATAAAGTATAACATTTGATTTCCCAAGCACTGCTTGAAATGCCGCCACTATCCTGTTCGTGGCGCTACGCTGCGTTGTCGGGTACACGCGCAGCATGAGAGCGTCAGGTTCATTCCGGTATAATACCAAACTCCGTCGCGTTACGGCCTCGCTTGTAAAATCCACATGCCCCCGGATTCGTGCCTGAATGTCATGCTCAACGTCTGGAGATAAACCGTGGGAAGTGACGACACCAGCGGGAAGTTCCACAAAAAAGCTGTATCGAAAGCCCGCCAGGGAGAGAAGCACACTTTTTCGGTCGTTTGTGCAGCCATAAATATATATCTCGCCACCTCGGCCAACTTCTTCAATGTCAAGTACAAAGATTGTCGTGATGCATGCGTCTAGTACGTGACTTCTTGTACTCGTCGTGGTGCGAGCTCTTTTCTTGGTGGTGCTCGGTGTGCATGGAGGAGGATCGTCCCTCAAATCAGCCATCAGATCACGGCCTGGAAAATTAGTCCATAAGAATTTGAAATAAGCATATGTGTGCAATATGTATTCTTGTACTCATCGGTAAACACGACTTCAAGGAAGAGTGCTGAGCACGCGTGTGGAGCAAATTCAACGGCAGGCAACGGCTCGCCGTTGAACCTCCCCACAGATGACTAATAATTTACAATACTTTGTAGTAATGCATGTTGCTGAAAATAAATAAACTACGTTTCCTCCTCCTAATTAAAAGCTGTGAAAACAAACACAACTCAGATGCGCAATCCTTTCTTCATTTATCTGCTATGTGCATTGGCTCTTCCCATTAGCTCTTCAATGATACATTTGTGTCCACATACATCGTATACAGCCTATTTAATCCATTTTTCCGGCTTTCCGACACGTTTTGGGCGCTTCATTCCCATCTCGTGAAAAAGCACTCCATCTCTTGAGCCCTCGCTTCATGCGGTACATTACGTTTCTTGCTGACTCTTTTCCTGCATTGTAGGTCCGCTTCAGATCCTCAACCGAAGCCAAATTGGTCACCACCATCACGCTCAAAAATCGCCAGAAGGTTCCCCGCCAAGCTGGAATTGTGTTCCAGCTCGAGTAAAATGTGTAGGGTATAACGGTGACGGCAATCAGCGCCAGCACCATAGCTCGATTCAGCCCATCTCGCCCGTCCTGCCACCATGCGTCTAAACTATCCCGCCAGCGGGGGAAATAGGATAAGAGCTTGTCGTGCACAATTTGCCAAAAAAGAGAGATGCCCAGCCCAGCGAGGAAGTAGACGCTGGAGAGAAGAAGAACAGTGAAAGTGGGGAAGTAGGAGAGGCAGACTGTGAAAAGTGCGACGTAGGAATGGTAGGCAAGATAGAGGAGCAGAAATTTCTGTAAATGCAGAAGCAGCTGACGGACAGTGACGAGGGCCTTGGAGTCAGCGTACAAAGACGTGGACGACGCAGACCGATAGTCCAGGAAGAGCACCAGGCCTATGAAAAGCAGGGTAACTTTGTAACACCACTTGCTCTGCGATGCCATAGCAATGCTTAGAGCTGCAACACTATAAGCCTCTACCTTCCATCGCACATACGGCTGCCAACGACGTCGCCTGAGGAAGCTTTGCGAGAGGAGCTCCCACAGGCAGCTCCTTGCTTTTCTGCACCAAGCGTTCTCGAGCAGAAGAAGAAGGACAACAGGAATAATTGCGTACATCCACCAAGACTGCCGCCACAAGAGAAGGCATCCAACCATGGCTGCTTGATTTCTCAGGTTCTCCTCCTCCATGGACATGAGCAAGTTTCTTTCGAGCGAGGCAAAGAAGCCCACAAATTCCAGGGATGGGGCTGAGGGAAACCGGAAAACACCATCCTGGACCTCCATTGCGTGCAAGAACTGCTGCGCCACGGCCTTTCCTGTCTCCTCGCGGGGCTCTCCCTCCACGGGAAATTGTGTCGTGATCTCGACGTCCCGCAAGCACTCGTACACATCCTCCCTCGTTATGCCGCTGAGCAATTGCCCTTTCCTTTCCGTGTCAAGACTGCGCCAGTGTTGCAGAGCAGCTTCTGTGTAGCTTCTTCCAATCGAGTGTTCACCGTCCTCAAAAAGCCCCGCGATGCATTCGTGCAAGTGAATGGCGGGTGCGGGGGCCTGTCCAATGGAGCTCCGCCTGCCTTGTGGACAAGATTTCCCATCCTTGGCACCAGCACGATCCTTACCTCCAGAAATGCCATCTGCAGCGCTGTCAGGTAATATTGTAACCCCTCTCTTGCTGCTGCCGGACATATCGGCATAGGTTTTCACGTCGCTATCGCTCCCGCCACCGTGTGGGTAATCACTTGGGTCTTGAAAGGTCTTTGCTCGGTCTGACGATGGAGCAGAAGCACAAGTACTGAAAGGTGTGGATGCATCTGAAGTAAAGATAGGAGACTGTGACCGGTGGCGCTTATGTTTGCCCTTTTGATGCTTGTTCGTTGTCATTGAGGTGTCAAACAGAGTGCGGACTAGAAGGCAGCCAGTCAGGCGAGCAATTGAAGAAAAGTTTCCATAAGCCAAAAAGCCCGGAGCAGCCCCACGCTTCCCCCCAAAACACCTGTGGAAGTGCTGTGTAGACGAACCTGCTGTCATTCACCGAGACAGAAGCGCGAACTGCGGTTCTTAGTACTTGATATCATCCTTCGAGGAATGCTCGCTGAAGCCGTAGGACGACCTCGCACCTGCCTTGCAGGCCGCCTTCTACATGTCCTGAAAGCCCTCGTTTTTAACGCATATGATCCATACCCACAAGACTGAGTTACTAAATGAGTACATGCTTTATTCCACTGTACCAGGGCACAATTTTGTCGCCGCTCCTGTTGTCATGGCGTCAACAGGGACTACAAGTGGGCCACCATCGCGAGGCCCTCTGCCAGCCTACCTCCAACCACAACAGCATCAAGAACAACAGCAGCAAAGCACAAGTACAGCAAATCCTGAAATCTTTGTGCGACGATTGTACAAGCCGCGCCTCTGTGACCAAGTCAACACCACGGCCGGGACTCAGCTTGCGTCGCTCAGCCGCCGCATGAGCGCGGGTAACAGAGGGAGCGGCGCGGGAGAGGGAGTCAAATCGTCGACATGTACGGTATTGGCAGCTGAGCTGGTCCAATCCGACTATTTGCTTCAGCCCTCACTGACCCTGCCTGAAGAATTTGGTAAAATCTACCTGGGCGAGACGTTCTGTGCTTACGTGTCTATAGTCAACACCTTGCCATTCTCCATCCTCCTCTTCGAGGCTCACGCCTCTCTGAAAGCTTCGCGAGGCAACGAAGTGCAGTTGCAGAACACGGTAGCAACCCGGCAGGCTGATCTTGTCGGGGATGCGCCTCCTCCTGTACCTGACCAGTGGGGAGGGTTAGGGGTGCGTCGGGATCGGCCGCTAGAGCTGCGACCGGGCGAGAACTTGGACGTTGTGGTAGAGCATGTGCTGCAAGAGCTAGACTGGCATTACCTGGCCATCAATCTGGAACTTGCCCCGACGTCGAATACGGGGACGAGAACTGGCGGGGAGGCCCCCAGGGTGATGATGAAGCGTTTCAAATTCAAGGTGTCCAACCCTGTCGCCCTGACAACCACACAGAGAGTCTTGCCCTCGGGCCAGGTGCTCGTGCAGGCACAGATCAAAAACATCACGGAGCGACACACCAATCTCTTCCTGGAGGACGTGACGTTCCTGGCGGCCGACAGGCTGCATTCGGAGGCGGTGGGGTTGGCGCCGAATGGGCGGTCGGCGTTGGGGGCGATGGAGCAATGGGGCGACCGAAGCCCGGAGGCAACACTTCCGTCCGAGGAAAGGGAAAGCGATCCACTCGACTGTGTGGCAGCCTTTGACCGACACGTGTACCTGCAGCCGGAAGATGTGGCGCAGTTCCTCTACCGCCTGTCTTACCGGGCCGAAGACACCAGGGGCCCGCCCGATCAGGACGGGATGCAAGCGTCATCTCCCGTCGCTCGCACCACCTTGTCTACAGGGACACCCCTGGGGCAGCTGCGGGTGTCTTGGCGCACTACCTTGGGCGAAAGTGGCACCTTGTTGAGCCCCCTGGTTGAGTGCTCAAGTGCCGTCGCCTCCACCGCCCCGCCGGTCGAGCTACGGCTGTCGCGGCCTTTGCGCGCACTTCGGAGAGAAGGTGATTCTGAGACATCATCTGTTGATGTCAAGCCTGCAAAGGATGACCAGGAGGGGGCGGCAGTGCTGGTGCAAGGCCAGGTTTACGCGGCCCACTGTACATTATACAACAACACCGATAAGGACATATGGCTCCAGGTGCAATTCCATCTCGACGCCATGCAAGGCGTCTATATCACGGGGAAATCATTCCAGAATGCTGGTCAGGTCCGTTCTCATGGGACTCAGAACCTGCTCTTCCATTTTCTCCCCCTGATGGCCGGTCTTCATGACGTCAAGGGGATCACCATTCTGGACATGGTCACGGCCCAGGAATATCATCAAGATCGTCTCTGCCAGGTAATGGTGTTGCGACGCTCTGAGTCCGTAGGACAGGGGTTGGGAAGCGGTAAAGTAACATCACTGCCAGCCCTTCCCCCGGAAGAGCCGTGCAAAAGTCATTAAACGGGTACGGTCCTATGGCAACGAGTTCAAAGCTAGAAAAGGCAGTTACTTTACTTTCATATTCATTTCTTCCACAATCGTTCCGAGTGGGTACTTGTCACGATGTACCGGATGCGTGATCCACCACGGAACTTCTGCGATTTCACAAAAGCGTGCCTTTTCATCTTTATGCCCCCCAACAAGCACTCGCGACATGACGCAGGGTCGCAGGAGACCCATGTCGGCAGATTACGGAATTGTACAGAATAGTGGCTGACGTTTGGGCGGTCTGTCACCTCGTCGGGAAAGCTTCGACGCAGTGCGTCAGCGAATCTGTAAACATCAATGCGTGGGTCAGATCATCGTTCCGACGGTGCGACCAGATATGCGATCTTTATCATCACTTCCTCGCCCTGCCTTTGCTCGGCGAAAAGGTCTAATGTCCAATGCCAGTCTTGCATTGGACATCAAGTGCCTCAAGTTCGTCATCATGACGCATTCGGTAATGCGCATGCTCGATGACGTGGGCCCCGATCTGGTGCAGCATGAGAAGTGATGGCATGAGCTGGAGCTTGGTTCCCTCCATCGTCTTGTAGGAGCTTGGCTTCCCTTCGTCGATCCGGTATTGCGGTTTTTCATGACCAGCACCAGTTGATGGGGCGGCTATGGTGCCGCCGCTACCTGTTCCGGAAGCTCCACTTCCCTTTCTGTCCAAGAAGAATGCCACCTATGTGTGGCGAGCTTTGAGTCCAAGAAGGAGAGACAGAGCGAAAAGCGTGCGGAGCGCATGGGCTTGATGGCCTTTTTAATTTATTTGAGATATTTTCACTCATTTGAAGCCTTTAGACAGCTTTCCTGCCAAATTAGACACATTTAAATAGTTGTAAAATCCTGATCCGAAAAAGAATCGAAACCCACCCACCCACAACTTGCCCATTCCTTGGGCCCGTAAGCCTTCGGATCTTATCGAGCCGGCCCACAGACGTCATGCATCAGGTACGGAGAAGCCACTCGTATCGAACCATATTATCGACGATGTTAGACGCCATGATGCTGCATAAATTGCCGTCTTGTACGAGGGAGGTGATTGATGCAGTACAACGGGAGAAATGACGGCACCAATATGGCATGTAAGGGCTTGCAAAGCGCACAGCTGACCTCTTCACTCCCCGGAACGTACAAGTTGTTCTGTGGTGCCATGCACCGCGATTGCATGGCTGTCTTGAGTCGCTTTATTAGATACACATGAACGAAATGCCTACATATACATAGCAGAAATTGACTATGCTGCTGTGCCGCGCCCTGGCCTCATTTAAATTGCCTGGTCTCTGCCAAGGGCGCTTTCTGAAAGCGACGACTTCGAGCAAGGCGAAAGACGTCAGTCCCGAACCCTCATCGAATGCACGTGATGAGCGAGGCGACACCACAGCAGAGCAGGTCGTGGATCCCAACCAGAATCATCTAGATTACCTGCCAGAGGGCAAGGGGCAGGACCCAGCGGACCAGGGGCTGTGGCTTAAACCAGGGGACACGGGGTACGTGCCCAGACAGGAACGTCCTCCGCTCGTCGAAGACAAAATAACCGGCGAAAAGGTACCCATGAATTTGCCGTCGGGCACTTTCGGAATAAGAATTTGTGATTAAATTTGTGATGATGACACACCTTGTCATGTCAGCCCATTTTGATGAGGATGCCACGAACGTTTCTTATTTTCCTCCTCCTGTATCCTGACATCTTCATCAAGCTACTGGACACAGACGTCCTCGTTGACCGGCGATCAGGTTGAAGCGAATTTCGCTCAGCGAAAGCTGCTTGAAATCAAGACAGAGACAATTGAGGGTCATCAAGGGACTAGTCTGGTCATACAAAATGAGCAAGAAATACAAATATTATTCAAGGACATCGAATGAGTAGCGTTACGGACCCTCTCACACGTTTTGCCGTTTTGGGTAAAAAATATCGTTCATTTGCCTTCTAGTTAAGTCACTTTTTCGTTGTGGCTTACTCTGTTGCTGTCAGAAGGGAGATCGCATCCAAGTTCCGCTCATCATAGAGCTCGTGCGCCTTGGGCGGCAATGAAAGAATCCATCCACGCGCCTTCATAAGGTCGACCAGTTCGCACGTAGTGGAGGCTTTGCCAAGCGTAGTGACAGAGCCAACGATCAAAAGCTTTTTCCTGGCCCGCGAGACCGCCACATTAATCCGCCGTCGATCCTGCAGGAGGTGGCCTACGACTCCTTCCGCGTTGGAGCGGACCATGGAAATAATGATGCAGTCCCGATCCATCCCTTGGAGCTTGTCCACCGTATTGATTTCCAGATTTTTGACGTGCTGGAGTCGCCTCCGCAAAAGCTTAAGCTGAGAACGCAAGGGGCTGATGACGGCGACGTTCTCCGCCGGCACCCCACCTAAGACCAAGGCAGTGACTAGTTGGGCGACTAACCGGGCCTCTGTGGGGTTTGTCAGGTTCGATGGACACATCTGGTCGTGCTTCCATCTCGGCTGCCCCTCGCTCTGTATTCTTTCCCCGAGCCGTCTCGTGGGATCGTCCACACAGCCTTCATTTCCCCGCAACTTCACGATGTCGATCAGCGCGTCCTCTTGCTTCACCATTGCCTTGACCAACCCATCTTCGAGTGGATTCAGGCTAATACCATCCGTGTCCAGAAATAAAACCGACCGATGCGGGGCGAAGGACTCTTCCAACCATCCAGTCTTGCCGATCTGGACCTCGCAAGCGCCATCCGCCCGCAGAATACGTAGACGATCAAAGCGAGGCAACTCAAGTTTGGCATTCGCTACGCTGTCATCGCCACACTGAAGCTGATTGGCGTAGGCCAAGGAGTTACAGACAGACATGATATTACCGTTCATGCGATACTGGAATGTCAGACACTGGACCGCCTGAGGATGGGCTTGAGAGAGGCGGGAGAACAAACTCTCGCCCATGCCGTCCTCGGCTGCCAGAGGACTAACAACCAGGGGTGGCAACTGGTTGTGATCGCCGACCAGCACGAAGGAGGTGGCGAGGCGCAAGGGCCCAAGGCAAACAGGCTCGAGGATCTGCCCTGCTTCGTCCACGATGCAGACGTCGAAGCGCCGCGAGGCAAGGGCGGCATGCCGGACCCCTAGGCATGTCGTCGCCACCACCTGCGCCGTACCCAACTTGGCGTCGAGCGCGGCCATAGAAGCAAGCCCGTCGTTTGCCTCCAGTAATGAGTCGTGCAACGCGGACTGGACCTGTGCGGCCCGACCCAGTCGTATGAAGGGTACTTGACGTTCGCGCAAATTATGGAGCACCGTGTCGACGCCAGTGTGCGTGTAGGACGTGATGAGCACACTTTTACCGGTCAGCACCAGAGCGCGGATGACGAAGGCAATCGTCCAGGTCTTGCCAGTCCCCGGCATCCCCAAGAGCAAAGCCATGTCTTGTGCTGTCAAGACTTTCTCAACGGCCCGTTGCTGGTCCGGATTAAGCCGTGAGAACTCCTCTCGAAGCTGTTTCTCCCCACATCCTCTCACCTCCCTACTCCCTTGCTGTCGCAGTAAAGTGACCGCATCAAAGGGGACGGGGCAGGGCTTTTGGGAGAAGGATGGAGGCTGCAGATGGACGATGAGGCGACGCCGTTTTTCGTCTCCTGCTGTCGGGACTAAGCGTAGTCCTCCTTTTGGTCGAGGCTCCTTGTGTGCATGTACATCGGTGCCCTTTTTGGCATTTTCTACCGGTCCAGTAAAGAGACTCATGATGTTTGAGCGCATGGTTGTAAAATTCATTAAAGTGTTGTCTTTGTCTATCCTGAACACCACAACGTCCTTGGATGCCGGCAGCTGCGGCAGTCCCACATCTCTGAAATCGTCCTGGTAGGCTACAACCAAGCCTCTGGAAACGTGATGGGCGGCCTGTCTATTGCCCGCTTGAGACGTGGATGTGGAAGCGAACGAAAAGTCCGGGTATCCCGGGACGGCAATTGCCTTAGAGCAAACGACCTCCACCGCCATCTCGCTTATAGCGCTGACATTACCGCTTGTCAAGTTTACGTGCTGAAAAGGCAGCAACTCCGTTTGTCCCGCGCTGTCACCAGCCACGACCAGGCTCTCGGTACTCACAAGCACGCGATCGCCTACCGCGATTGCCATTTCGTGCAAGGAGCGTGGGACACGGGGGTCCTCACCACCCTTCATCTTGGCACCACCGGCTGCTGGGTCGGATCGACCTGCATCTTCCCAATTTCGGCGGGCGAATCGATACAGATAGGCGGGGCCATCCATTTCCTTAAGAGCCTTTGCCTTGTTGCACACCATATCGCTGAAACATCGACTCGTCCGTTCCTCTTGGGCCGCCCCCCGACGGTGCCACAATTCTCGTCCGGCCCGAACAGAGGCGTTGGCTTCCAGGCCAATGAGCCGATCCCACTTGCGGAGGTATACTCGATCATCTTCCTGGAGGTGACCGGTCAAATCATCGAAAAGCTGTCCGATGGCACTGCTCTGCGCTGTACCATCTTCGAAGGCTTGGTGGTAGACCATGCATTCCGCTACCTGGAAACACTTGGAGCACTCCCCTGGATGGGCCAAGACCGGAGGTAAGGGCCGTTCAGGATTTTGCCCGGCTTGCATGCACGCTTGGGCGACGCGGTTTCGCACTATCAGCAATTGGCGGATTTCGGACTCTCGCCCAGCCACGGTGCGTGTTTCTACGCCGGTTGTTCTCAAGTAGGCAAGCAAACCCGAGTCCCCTGCTCTGGCTCGCGCGTTTTGTCGTGCTGAGGCCATTCTGCTGCGGCCGGCATGGCCGTACCGATCCTGGAGCAGGAGACCATAGAGCATGACCTGGCCCCGGTGCTCGGTTTCATTTATGGCGGAACCGCTCTTCAGTTCCAAGGGCAACAGGTGTTCGTGTTCTCCGTCATTACGCCGATGCTCTTCCAGCAATTGCTGT